GCAGACAGCAAGCAAGTCCAGGTGGACCTACAAGATCTGGGCTATGAGACATGTGGCCAAATTGAGACCAAGGCCAAGTGCAGTCTCAGTAGTGGGCCAGGCCAGTGTAGGGGCTCACCCTTCCATCTGCACAGTCAGCTTTCACATTTGGAGATCTACCGGAAAATCCCAAATAAAGGGGTGGAGGGAAGCTGCAGTGACTGGAGGGAACATGGGAACAAGGGCACAGAGAGATAGGTCCATTAGAGGAGGATTCTTGCTAACATTGAACTTGTTTGCTTTCAAATTTCTACAATGGTTTTTGAATAAATCAATGGGGGATAAAATTTGCTATCCAACTTACTGTCATAGACAGAAATGTAAAAATTAAAGCCTGCTTCTTAAAGAAGTAAAAGACGAGCTTTGGGGTGTGAAAAAACTATTTTTTCCCATGATCTTCATTATAATAATTATAATTTTTTCTGTGCCTCAGTTTCCTCATCTGTAATGGTAATAGAGTAGTACCTACTACAGATAGTGGTGAGGATCACATGATAATTCTTGAAATTCTACTAGGATAGTGCCATGGCAAACATTATGTATTGCTTCTCCCTCTAACCTAACACAAAACCTGTTAGCATTTGGGCATAAGTCTTTTAGATCTTTTCCCCCCATATGCAGTTTTAAGCAGTTGTATCTAGATCAATTTTTAAATCTGTGAAACATTAGGGGACTATTGAAACTCTGAACACAGGAGAACCATCAGTCCTACAGTCTGTGGTGTCTTCCTAAACACACAGGAAATTGCCATTTCATGCCCCAGGTTAATGTTTTACTTAAGAGGCTGCAAGGTTTGGTAAAGTGGCAAGATTTTAAGTCAAATGTCACGGGATGTGAATTCTGATTTTGCCTCGTTTTAGTTGAATTATCTTGTCAAGTTACTCTATCTGCCTATGAACTTCTCTTTCCTCATCTCTGAAAAGGGGAGTTGTTGGGAGATTGAGGAATATAGAAGTACCAGTGTAGAGCCGGTACTCGGGTTACCTTTGTCCTTGGGGTGAGCCCTGCTACCCTCTGAAGGCAGTGGCCACAGCAGCATGTCCACGCTTCCACTGAAACAAGCATGTCGGTCTTTTCTCAGTGTGTGAAGAGTGCAAAGAACTCATTAAATCTGTGCTAGAGGAGAAGCTGCAGTTTGAGGAAGAGAAGCTGGCAGAGAAGACCAGACCAGCTGCAAGGCTCGGGTAAGGAGGTGCCTGTTTAGAAAGTGTGTGAATACTGTTTGAAGTGGGGCAGGCCAGGCTACTTGAATGAAGAGCAAATTTCTGCAAGGAGAAGGGCAGAAATGTACATGGCAGGCATAGAACTAGACAGGACAACCAATAGGGCTGTGACCTAGTTAGGACTCTGAGGTTCTCCATTAAATAACACATGAATAAAATGAAGATAGATGCCAGGGTTGAAATACTAGCATGAGGCTTGTAGCTGTGTGTCCTTGGACAAACTTAACTTTCCTATGCAACAGTTACCTCACCTACCTCACCTGTAAAATGAAAATACTGACAGTACCTACCTCAGATGGTTCTGAACATTAAATGCATGAATAAAAGTGGTTAGAACCATCTCTGACACATATGAAACTCTCAACAACTACTTGCTATAATTATTACTCTTGCTCTCATTTTTTATAGGCATGGTGGTTGTCACTAATGTACTAACACTTCTACGAGAGATATT